TCAAACATCAGCATGTATTAAAGATAAATATGATTTACGTTCGTTTTGTTATTGTATTTCTTATCATAAACGATTTCATCATCTTCTATCAAGAAACAAATTGTTTACATCTAAAACTCCAATAGTCAATTTAATATAAGTGGTAACGATAAGATTAATTTATATGTTTTGTTATATGGAATCTTGACTACTTGCGATTATAATTTTGTTATTTTTCTTTTTGTTTTGCTATATATAAATTCAAAAAAAAAAGCATTAACAAGTGATAACTTTTTTCAATTGTTTTTTAGGAAACCCGTTTCGAAGTTTCTTGGCAAGAGCTCGACAAAAAATTATAAAATTTTCACATCAGATAGATCTCAATGAGTAAAATAGGAGTTGTCAAAGACTTACAATTTCCATGTTCTTTCTTCCAAGAGACATGAAAGTGGCAAAGGCCTGAAGTTATCCATCCTCTGCAGAATTCTATACTTCATTTTTTTATGACAATTAGGATTAAATTGAAGTAAGTATGGTTCTTAAAACTCAGGAGAAGCAAAACATTGGATTTTGAAGAAAAAAAAACTACGTGCATCAATTTGACCGAAATGCTCATGAAAAAAAATTTGAGTCCGATCGAATGTATTGTGTAGAAGAACGACAAGGAAAACTTATTTGTTTCTGTTCAAAAATTGATTTTAAGAAAAATGCAAAACAAACTATCCTATATGTTTAAGAACATTTTTTCCAACTAAAGTGATTTTGTTCAAAGATATTACAAGTACATAGTTCATGTTCTCAGCACTTTTATAGATTATTATTAGAAGACTTTTGCATACAAAGAATAATCATTACACGAGGTTTCCTGCCAGAGATTTCGAGAGTTGGATTTAATAAAAGTACTAATTAAGAAAGAAGACCCTTTATTTATATGACATATGATAGAGGACACTTCAAAACTATTTCAGTAATATAAAAAAATTGAAAATTGAAAAATTTTTGATATTAACATCCGTAAATAGAGAGAGGGAGCTGCCTTAAGAATGATGAGTTTTAGCAGTGGCTTAACGGCACTTCTATCTCTCCAGATGTTCAAGCCAATGTTTTTTTTCGATTTTTAGTTTTTCATCGTTAATATAGCTTCGAAAAGCTCTCTATCAAATGTCATATAAATGAAGGCTCTTCGTTGTTAGTAAACACTTTTATGAAATACAACTCTCAAAATTCCTAGCAGAAAAACTTGTGTTACAATTATTTCTCATTCTATAGGTGCTGCATACATGAGATCATAGATCTTCAACACCACTGAACACTCTCAGCTTTCGATCACTTTAGTTAGAGAAACAAGTTCTAATACATATAGGAAAATTTGTTTTTCATTTTCGTTGAAAATAATCTTTATACAAAAAACAAATACAAAATCGTCTCCGTTTCTCCAACACAGTACGTGCGATCAAGTTGGCAGATTTTTCAAAAATGTTCTAGTAGGCAAAGCAAGTATTTTATTTTTTCGGAGATACGCTCAATATTTGGATTCTCTTATTCAAATGAAACGAGATAAAAAGAAGTAGACACACTAAACAGTATCTACTATTCGTAGAAAACTCCAACACTAGTGAACTGGTTGCAGTTGACAAAAGCGGAGCGAATTTTAGTCAATGTGACCCAGCTATTGTCTTTCTAAGTCTAGAAACATTAAAAATACAATAATTGATTAAGTGTAGTCGATCTCTATTGCGAAAGCATATTAGAATTGCTATATGATTCATTGAAAACCTAATATGTTAACCGAAACTACATTACTCTTATGTAAAGATTTTTGTTTTACGTTGACAATTATGAAGTTAGCAAATATATCTAATATTCAAAAAAAAGAGAGAAATTGATTGAAAGATTGATTAGGATATGCGGCTCAAATAATCGTTTGTAACATTTATTATTCACGAACGATTTTTTTTCTTTCATAGAGAGCGATTGATCACATGATCAATACTATTTAGCAGTTACTTTAAAAAATAACCATATTTTCCAGCCAAATAGTCTTTCATCTCCCTTGAAAAATACCGATTTTGCTAGATTGTAACAAAAGTCGAAGCGCTCTTTTATGACGCATCAATGGCTGTTGGCAATTCAAAGACGACATAAAGAAATATACTAAGAAAACAAGCAATTCGATGGCATAAAATCTCAGTAGATGTTTAATCGATAATCAAACTTAACTTTTTTGTAAAACAAAAGAAGACAAATAATTTTCGCTTCGAGCAAAGTCAAGAGAAAATAGTATGAATTTATTATATCAATTATTCGTCGCCAAAATTTCATAATTTTCATTTCAACGATGTTACTATAGGCAATGTCTGTCTTTGCTAATCTTTATGCCGATAATCAATTTTCTGAAATAATACTTGAATTTGATAGTAACTGTACTTAGTAATTAGAGTGATGTACCAAGTTTATAACTAACTTAAGTAAGTAATTAAACAAATACTTAAACTCAGTTATGACGAAGGTTCATAAATTAAATTAGGAACTAAGCTAGTAACTTAATTTATGATGCATGTATCATACTTGAATTGATGCTATATATCAAAATCTATATATGATAAGTTTATAGAAAGAATGAACGTAAGGATTGATTGTCGAAACGAAATGTTCGATGATCTTCATTTTGATGAGCTCTATTTCAGTAATATTCATTTCGATACTACGATAAAATGATGATCAACTGTTCGCTAAAACAACAAATCCTTATTGTTAATAATTACAAATATTCTATAATCGATAAAATAGTTATCATATATATATTTAAAATTGATAATTAATTTAGAACTCGTATATTTCTATTATAATTTCATTCTTAGTAATAAAGTATATTTTTCATTTTTTAAATCATTTGAATTTATTCACTGAATTATAATTTTTTATTTCAAAATTATTTTATTTTATTTTTTTTTCATCTTTATTTCTTTCCAATACCACTAATTAAACCAAGTTGAATGAGATATTCAAGATTTGCAACAGCGGATTGATCTTATGAAATATAAAAATAAAAGATTATATTCAATAATAAAAAGAATTTACTTACCAACACAATTATTATTAAGCATAACATAATTTGGACAACATTTATAATCTTCTGGAGCACAATATGTTTGTGAATTTGGTACAAGCATTGTTACAACTGTATATTCAGTAGTCATACTAAAAAAAATATTAAAAAAAATATTAATTTAATGCTAGACATACATATACTAACTAAGTTTCTGTACCATAAATTGGTGTCCACATACATCCAGTTGTTGTTCTTATAGGGCGAGAAGTGGTAGATGTTGTTTGACTTTCTTCTGGACGTACTGTTGAACTTGGAATTGGTACTGGTGGACCTTTAATAGAAAAAATCTTCTTCTTTTTTTTTTATTATCATATGAATATATATATATATACGAGTTGGATTTTTATTTCCATGACAATCTTGATAACCAACTGTAATTGTATGTGTTTTAGGTACTAATGAAGTTTGCATTTTGGTGACTATTTGATCATTATTAATATGTTGCCAATTTTTACAACAATATCCATCATTACTAATAAATAAAGAATAATTGAAAAGATAAAAGATGAACAAAAAAAAAAAAATAGTTACTTTCGTTCATTATCAGCTGCACGCTTCGAATTGATTTCTTTAGCCAAATATTGATATTCTTCAGGTAATGATGCTAAATCACGTTCAAGATTTTCAATATACTCAGGTAATGCAGATACCTCAAGTAGATAAATAATATTAGAAGTATAATAAAAGGCATAAAGATATAAACTACCTGCAAAGCTAAGGCAATTAAGCAAACGATTGTAGTTCGAAGCATTGTTTTACAAGAACAAGAACAAGTCATAGAATGTTATTTATAATACAATCTGTATGTATATGTTTGGTGAAAGAACGACAGATGATATATTTTCTCATACTTGGAAATCAGACCATTATCATTAGTATCGACAGAGAAAAATATTAATAAAAAGAAAAATGATTTGCTTTGATAACAATCATGAAATATTAGTTTAAAAAAAAAAAAACAAGAAGTCAGAATATAATAATGATTTTTTTCTGAAAATGAATAGACAATATGATTGAATTCAATTTTGAACAAAGTCAATATAAAATTAAATATTTACTAAGTTGTATATGAATGAATGAATGTGTCGAAAGTAGTAAGCCTCGTCTCCGAAAACAAAAGACAACACACAATGAAAATTGTTAGGCATCGTGGAAGATCATCGATTTTCAAAGGCCTTTTTTGGAGACTCAGCGAATTTTAACACTTACAAGCTCGTTTTTCAGTAAAATACTATTTTATCTTAGCAGCAATTCCAAGTTTCCACTACCTATTTTCTAAAAACCCCTGTTTAAATATCAGAAGAGATTTTCGAAAAAATCTTTGGTTCTCTAGGTAAATTGAAGCAGAAAGACTATGTCAGACTAGATAGTTATAATGTTCATTCTACATTTATTTTGGTTATTAAGTTTTGTCTAATATAGTGAAATTCGAAAATTAACATTATGTAGTCGATGTTCAGTCATCAAATTACTTTATTTTTTTCATAGTACATCGTTCCTACATTTATAAATAACAATTACTCGATTTAACTGATGTAAATAAAAACAAATATTTGTCTGTTATCGTTCTTGATGTATTATAAATTTCATTATTCTAATAATAAATCAAAAACAAAAGAATAAAATGACATGAAATAATTATTTTTTAATGTTATCTACAAACAAATTACTCAATACATTCGTAAAAACTTTTGAATGTAATATATACAAAAATGAACCTTAACATACAATAAAACTATTTTCATTAAGAATAAAAGACGTTTAAATATATCTGCAATGAAAACAAAAAAAAAAACGAAATTTTTTCTCTCAGATCGTCTTTCACAATAATAATAATAAAAAAAAAACAAGTATTATATATTGATTAGATAGACGAGAATAAACGAAATTTTAATTTTGATATAAATATTTATGGATCAGTTAATTTAATAGTCGTTGTTTGTAAATCAATATCATCTTGTTCGACAAGTTCATTTAATTCTGTATCATTATGTATGATAGATACAGTACGAGATAGATTTGCTTTTTCTAAAAGATCCAATAATAAATCGACAACAGTTTCAGCAAATTGATTTTTATCGATTATTTGAATTGATGATTGATTATCATTTGATGCCGTTTCATTATCATTATTATATATGACAAGTGGTTGACTAATTTCAGTTTCATTTAAACCTTAATATACACATATATATTTAAAATAGAACTTTTTCTATAGATTAAAATTATAAGAAATAAAATTACTTGATGAATTAAATACTTGAATAATACCCGTATGAGTATTACCAACAAAAAGAAGAAAGAAAACGATGATGATCATTTTTCGATCGTGAATACAAATTGTTAAAGTACTGAATCTTTCTTTCCATTCTTTATATCTCTTTTTTCTTTTTGTTTTGCATTCTTATCTCAATGATTGACGATTGAACGTTTTACATAATCATTTTAATCATTGAATTTAATTAGTACCATTTGTTGCTATTCTTCTTCTTTCTATTGTCGAAACAACAAGAATATCATCAATCAAAAAAAGAAAGCATTCATTATAACAGAATGAACAGTTTTTTTTTGATTGAATACATACATAGGCATGCCTATCAAATTTCGTCTGCATCAATTACATAATAACATTCTGTGGAAATTGAATATCATCTGTAATTTGCAACTACTCGTATCAGTTTTATTCATGTCTAATAGTAATACTGATGAATAATACGTGAAAAGAATTAGCTAAGAAAATCAATAAAAAAAAAATCTATGATAACTATTAAAAACATAAAAGTTTATGTTATTATTTTAGTGAAACATTTTGACGCATTTTTATATGTTTGAGTTTTTAAATTAAGTGATCTGTATGAAAGAAAATGTAACAATTTTATATCTCAAAACTCCTTGAAACATTGTGATCTATTTCTTTTAATCAATTAATTATGTATAAGTTTATCGTAAATAATATCAATTTCTTAAAAGAGACGCCGAAACTTTTACATCACTCTGAAGATTACTACAACAAGATAATCGGAGAAAAAAATGATGAATTTGATAGAAAGAAATTAGATCGTCTAAACACAACATTACTGATATATTTACAAAAATATATGTGATATCAGCATTTGTTTACTTTAATCAGATCTGCGAACTAAATTGATGTGATTTACACATATAATGCTGTGTGAGAGTGAAAAAAGAACCCTAGATCGAAGATAGTTCTTCGAATAGAATCAATTGTTCAGCATTAACGTTATCTTCGAGAACAAGCCATTCTAGATATTTCTGTCTCGAATTGTCAGATTGCATCGATTGTTTTTGTGCATAAACATTTTTTCGGAAAAAAACTGAAATTGAATTTTGACACAAAAAAGTTTCCTCTATCGATTACTGTCAATCTCATATTCGGCTTGAGTCTTATTTCCGAGAAAACAGCTACTAGAGATGATCTGTGTATCGATCAATAGGATTGACTTGATTACTTCTAGGTACAAACATTTTTTCAGAAAAAATTGGAAGTGTGTATGAGTATTTTCTCTTACATGCTTTTATTCTGAAGGATAAAACAAGATGGAGAGAAAAAAAATTTAATGAAGCTCTCAAACATATTATATCGCATTCTGGACGATCTCGATAAGTTCACAATTTTATATTCAGTTCGTAATGTGTGTACACGACTGAATGCGATTACTGACGCATATTATCGTTATTAGGTAAAGTTCACCTTTATCAAGGAGTCAGATTTCAATTATCATTAAGATATCATTCAGTTCAAAAAATAATTATTTTTGATTGTTTGTACTTGTTGATTTAATAATAGTAAAAATTCGAGGGTAGTTTTTGACTTTTATGAATATGATCGAAATGAAACGAGTCAATTACAATATTTAAGCTACTTTAGAGAACGTTATTGAATTTCTTTATTTTCTGCAATATTTAACTAAATAGAAAACAGAGTTAATATTTTTTTTAAACGCATTGAGCCCTTTCGCATCGCAGTTTTCTTTTCTACATTATTTATGAAAAAGAGGCTTCTTCAGATGAACGATATTGAATATCATAAAAGATAGTTAGTTCAGTTCCAGGAATTCTACGTTCCTCAAATGTTGAAAACCTAAACATTTATCAAAGAGACGAAGGTAAAAAAAAATAAACAACATAATTCCAACAAGTTCAAGAACCTAAGAAGCTATAAAAGCAGTCACAATTTAAGAACCTTCGAGGACACTCTTGAAATCATAATATTTATTCAATTATCTAATAAACATCAGTAGATCCTGATTGTCAAAAAAAATAAATAAGCAATGATCTTGGCGCATTTTTACACTGACACATATGGTAACATTTTTGTTTTCCGAACAAAAACTTATTAAAAAGAGGCTTCTCCTTAGAAAATTTATTTTTTCGAAAAACTATCAAAGTTAACTTTTTATAATCAAAAGATACAGTCTTTGAGAAACGGTCGAATTGTAACAGACTTTCCGAAGAGAGTTTTAATTCTAATACTCTGCTATCTGAGAAATTTTCGTGGTTCTTTTTATATCTTTTTAGCTTTGGAAAGATTATATTTTTATTTGTAACCGCATTGAATGAACATTCTTATATGAATGAAGCACGACATATAGTGTCAACTTATGTCATCTGTTATGTGCCTTTAAAGACTTCATTGAAATATATTATGAATATGCCATTTTAACATGTTTTTTTTTCTGGATTGCAATGAAAAAAAATCCATGTCTAAAGTAGTCAATCAGTAAAATTGAAATAGATCCGACCCGGTTCAAGATATGAGCAATATTTCGTTTTTTTTCCGAAAGGTCCAAGATCGGTCAGATTTTTTTATAGCTAATTTCTATGTTGAGAAAAGCGAGGTTTTCTTCGCTTATTTTTAACATCGTATCTACTAAAATGATCATGACAAATAAATAGAAGCAAATTTCAAAGTTTTGCTTGGACAAAAACTGCACATAGGTATTGGTCTAGAGTTGAAACCACTTTGAGCTCTGTATTTCTTGAAGTGACGACGCTATAAGGACCCTCTTGAAGTCCACAAAGAGATAATTGATAAGTCGGCAGTTCACTTTAGTCTGATGTATCTGATTGAAGTTTTCACCAAAAGTGTTTTGATCACTAGAGAAACTTATTTCTGAACATTTCAGTCTAAATGGATCATTGTAAGTGAAAAATATATTGTGAAGGAGAGTCTTCTTGAGTAAAGTTCCACAGATAAACACTCTCATATAGAAATTTCACTCTGAACAGTTAAAGAAACCTCAAACGAGGTAAGGCGAAGTCTGTTTCATTGTCACAGTCTATCTAGCATTCCATTCATATAAAAGTTCATTGACGACAATTGCTTCCGTCTATCGACATTCGAACAGTGATCAAACCAGAATTCTTCACTTAAACAGCTTCGTGCGACTTTTATGAAATTTTTCTTGAGTTTTTACGTCACACTAAGAATAATGTCATGAAAATAAGTTTTCCAAATCACGAAAAATACTTCCTCAATATACTATACAAGAAAACCGATGATGATTGTAACCAAATACTCTCTCAAATCTCATGAGAATCTTACGCATTTTGCGATAAAAAGTGCAAAGATCTATAAAGTATGCTGCCAGAATCTTCATCAGACTGTATGTCAATCAAGCTCAAGTCTTTGCATTCATTCGTGCTGTACCTACCATCATCGTCTTTACTTACTCTTCATAAAGTATTACTCAATCATTTCGAAAACGCGCTCGATAAGAGTCAGAAACCTACTAAAACGGAAAAAAATAGTCTCAAGATAAAACGAATCGCATGATATCCCGTGGATTAAAACCCAATTCAGTCCTGAAAACATTTTCACAATCATAATCATGATCTCGATAACGACTTTCAATAATTATTGTTCAAATTTTAAACAAGATGGGTCTTGTATACGAGAACCAGTAACGAAATCAGTTTCGAGTACAACCGAGCATGTAATTACTCATATTACTAATGCAAGTTCAACAATTATTTGTGACACATATTGATTTATCGAGAGATTATCTAATCATTTCATCAAAGACCCTCTTACATAAAGATTGTGAGCCTCAAATACCATGAATTCACCGAAAAAATAAACTTAGCATCTGGCAGCAATAATTTCTTCTAAATATCCTTCTCTATTATTATGCCACATGCTACCATCCTCTATAACTACTGCAAAGAAAAAGAATGAAACAGAACACACTAAACCTCATGACAAAAGAAGTGATAAAATGTAGTCAAGCTGTGTGTGTGTAACTCATTCCGTTTGCTCATCCTTACTTTCGATAGAACATCCAGTATCATGCATATTGTAACCGTATAAATGAGAGCCGCCTCTTTTTCTATCTTGATAAACTTTTCAAGACAGTATCCCTCCGATCATGCTTTGCTCCTTTTGCAACTAGTTATTTTAAGTTCTCGTCGTTTATCGATCTTTTCTGACATGATCCAGTTATACGAAATTTCTCACTCATCCCACTCTTCCCAATCTCAATTTTTAATACAGGCACTCACAGGTAAAATATCAATCTCTACTCTTCTTACTATCTTTGCTATCTTGACTTGTCACAGACACTATGCACACTCGACATTCAGTGCAATCTAATTAGTGAAAAAGAAGGAGAGAGCGTTATGGAAATTCTGAGAGGGAATGATGGACCGAAAGTGCTTTGGCGATGACATGTCTTTTCGCTAAATATTTACATTTGGTTGTTGTAATTCTAAACATCGTCTTTTTCGCTCATGAACGATTGTGACAAAGTCATAGAAAGTGCTCTTGAAGGCATCTATAAAAGATTATGTGATGCATGCATACAGGGTACTTATTTTTATTTTCGGTTTATTAACAGTCTCACTGTATACCATCGATCGTGTATAGAGAGAACACTTTAGCAGCTATCCAACAGTTTTAGTGTTAAAAAAGTATCATTAAAGACTTACCGCTTCATCGCTAAATCTCTCGCAGATTGTAAAAACTATGAGTTTGTGATATCAATCTCTTCACTTTTATATGAAAAATTTCATGAAAAAAAAATGAACACGTATTCTGTTGACAGAATACTGGGCTTGTTGGATGACTTGGTTTTTTGATCATTGTTGATAAGAGTCTTTTTTGAATATGAAATGGATGAAGAATCAGCAAAGATCGCATGTAAAAGAAAACCTGAAAGTCGAATAAGGAAGCATATCTAGGGATAAACGATCGCTCTCTTAATCTTTGAAACCAAAAAAATAAACAATGACATTCACGCTTTGCGCGCAGCGAGACACTGGTTTTCTCTTCCTCCGATACTATTTTTTTCTATTTTTAGT